AATAATAATAATAATAATAATATAATAATAATAATAATAATAATAATAAATAATAATAATAATAATGACAATAATAATAATAATGATAATAATAGTAGTAGTAGTAGAAGTGATAATAGCTGAAATAATACGAACACTAATGAAATATAAACCCCTCCCCCCCTCCCCCCCTGTCGCCTTTGTTTACATTTCCGCCCGTCGTTGACGTGGATTCCCAAGGTGATATTTGTACATTAATAAATGGCCTTATGATAACTATCTGATTGCTTAATGGGATGAATTAATAAGTAGTTTTGTTAATTATTGAATGGTTGATGATGTCCGTGTATGGTGGAATGGCAAAATGCTGTGGTTTGTTGGCATAATAGGAAAATATATTATACGCAAAATGTTTTTTTTTTTTTTTTTTTTTTTTTTTTTTTTTAGTCAGTTTGTTTCTACGATTAATGATGGGAAAGGCTAGGTCAGTAGCAACTCGGGGAGGTGTCATGGCGGTTGATTCTATTTTTGGAAAAATTAAACACATGGGGTTTATTTTGATGACGTCATAAAAGTTACGGGTGTTTTGTGAATACGGTCGATCATTTTGGCCTTTTCAATTTTCAAAAAAAGGATGGAAAATAATGATTTTAATGGTTATATTTTCATTCGACAAGCATCAAAAACAGGCGCCATGACACCTCCTCGAATTGCTTCTGATCTAGCCTTTCCCGATACATGATGTATATACTGTACAGTAGATACGTATGTATGTGTTATTTCTGCTGAAAGTATAACATTTGTTTTATTTTCTTGGATTTGATTTATATGATGATTCATACTTTTCTTGTTTGTTTACAAATATTGTGATTTGTCTTGCGTTGTAACCAAGAAACAAAATCGCAAAGTAGGTGGATACATGAAAAAGGAAAGAAAAAATAGATACATAATAAAATAAAGAAAAAAATAGATACATAATAAAATAAAGAAAAAAAATAGATACATAATAAAATAAAGAAAAAAAGAAAAACAAGTTCGCTTTACATTTTTCTTTTCAAAAGCAGATTCGTAGTATTGGTTCAGATATCACCTATTTTTTTTTCTTTCTTTTTGAATAATGACACATTCGTCTTGTTAAATGTGCATTCCTCTCTATCTTTCGTAGCTACGCTCATCATCAATTATTGTTTTCTGTTTTTTTGTTTTTTGCGCGAATTTTGAAGGTGACTGATCACTTTTTTGCCCTCCATGAAGACCCCGACAGCATATAATTATATTTTATGTATTCTTTCAATACTTTTGTTCCTTTTTTTTTCTTTTTATTGAGATTTATTGATGGCCAGAATAATTTTCACTCTTCACAAGAGCAAAAACACGAAGATAGAAGACGGGAAGAAGCGAAGAAAAAAGTATGAACTAAGAAAGGAGAGAGGACGAGAGAGAGCGAGAGGGGGGGAGGGGGGGAGAGATAGATGGGGGGAGAGGGAGGAGAGAAAGAGATACAGACAGACAGGTAGAGAGAAAGAGACAGCAACGAAGACATAGAGAGAGAGAGAGAGAGAGAGAGAGAGAGAGAGAGAAGAGAGAAGAGAGAGAGAGAGAGAGAGAGAGAGAGAGAGAGAGAGAGAGAGACAGAGATAGATAGAGAGATAGAGAGAAATTTTACCCACTTTCT